ATACTCAAATATTTCAAGGAAAGAGACACTATGGAAACTACTGTTAAGTCGGGTTATCTTGTGGTGAAACATTACGTTGCTTAAGTTCTGTTCTGACCTGTATTGTTATGTTGTTATGTCCTCTTTTATCTCAATCTCTCCCCTTTTTAAAAAAGTTATTTATTATTTTTTTAATTAAGGGAAAAAGTTTTTTAAAAATTAGCAGGATATATTATAATAACTTTTTTGATTTCCTATTAAGTCAATTTGAAGCCCCACATTGCTCTCACCATCTTGTTTTGACTGATTTTATTCTGTTCTGTTTGATATTATCAATTTTGAGGGTATAGGCAACTACTTTGAAGGCAGTAAGATTCACTATGATACCCACTCTGGTTTAACTATTATTTTCTTTTGAAGTTCAGTAATGTCTCCAATGTTTAGGTTTTATTGGTTTTGTTCTGTACTGTTTTGTTCAATTTTATTATACCTGATGTTAAAGGCAATTCTTTTTAAAGTAACAAGAGGCATTATGGTAACCATCGTTGATTACCTTGTACTCTGTTTTTACATCATAAACTATGTCCATCCTTTGTTTTGACCGACTTCTACTTTGTTTTGTCACATTTGGTTTTATTCTCTTCCAAAAGAACTGTGGGAGTAATAAAACCCAAAATGTAAAAGTGTTATTTTAAAAAAGAGAAAAAGAAAGTGCTCTAAAGAACACAACTGCAAGTGTGTGTAAAATAGATTACCATATTGCTAAGTTTTTGTTGGAACACAGCTGTTTGCATTCTCACTGTTAGAATGTCCACTTTGTATGCTTGATTTTGTGACTTGAGCAACTATTTTTAGGATGACAATATGTGGTCTAATAACTAATGATTTCTTACTTTTTTTTAAATTCTGTATTGCTTGTACCCTTTTATGGTTTTGTTTTGTTTTATTTTCTTTAAGTAAAAAAAATAAAAGCTCAAAAAAAGAAAAGTGGAAACTCACAAGATGGGCATGAAGTGGGACAGAACTATGTTCAATTGTGCTCGCTTCTGCAGCACATATACTAAAATTGGAACAATACAGAGAAGATTAGCATGGCCCCTGCGCAAGGATGACACGCAAATTTGTGAAACGTTCCATATTTTTTTATCTCAATCTCTCCCTTATTCATTAAAAAAATTATTTAGTTATTTTTTATGTTTTTTTTTAATTAAGGGGAAAAATTTTTTAAATTAGCAGGATATCTAATGGTAACTTTTTTTGATTTCCTATTAACTTGTTTTGAAGTCCTGTAATACTCCCACTATCTTGTTGTGACTGATCAGACTCTGTTCCATTCTGTATGATAGTATCAAGTTTGTGGGTATAGGCAACTACTTTGAAGGCAATAAGATTCACTAAGATGCCCATTCTGGTTTGACTATTGTCTCCTTTGGAAGTCCTGTGATGTTGACAATGCTTAAGTTTTGTTGGTCTTGTTCTCTACTGTTTTGTTCAACTTTATAATACCTAATGAGATATACAATTTTTAAGGAAACAAGAGACATTATGGTAACCATTGTTGATAACCTTGTACTCTGTTTTTACATCATGTACTATGTCTATCCTTGGTTTTGACTGACAGCTTTATTTTGCCATATTTGACTTTATTCTCTCCCAAAAAAAAAAAAAGTAATAAGAACTAAGGAGTAATAAACCCAAAATGTGTAAATTTTGTTGTGAAAAAGAGAGGGAAAAAAGTGCTGTAAAGGATACAACAGCAAGTGTGTTTAGGGGTGTTAAATAGCTGACCATATTAATGTTTTTGGTTGAACACAACTGTTTGCAGTCTCACTGTTTGAATGTCCACTTTGTATGCTTTGATACTATGACTTGAGCAACTATCTCTAAGATGATAATATGTAATCTATTAACTGTTGATTTCTTACTGTTTTTTTTTTGTAGTTCTGTATTACTTGTACCCTTACACCGCTTTGTTTTGTTTTGTCTTTTCTCTTTTTCCTTTTAAATAAAATTTTTAAAAAATATTTAACGGTAAAAAAATAAGAACTACGTTCAATTAATAAGATTAATTGCTTCAGTAAAACTGATTAAATCAGGAACAGATGGGGAAGCATGTTACATAGCAGGTGGTAGCAAGCATGCATGCTTAACAGAGCAGTGACTCTCTGTAGCGGTTGGGATGCCAACTCCTGGCTTCCTCAGGGTAATGGGGACCTATTTAGAATATCAGTCCTTAGGATGTGGTGCATTTGCTTGATCTTTTGTCTTGAGGCCTGGCCCATACCAGAAGATGTCTTTCTCCTCCAAGGTTGCAAGGTATTTGGATCTTCTGCACTGGCTACTTTGAGGGCCCAGCCCTGTCTGACTGCCTAGAATATTTCTATCTAACTCAGCTGCCTGTAACAGAAGGTGAAATGACCCTCGGGTGCTTTTCAAACTTGTGAGTGGATGAGAGTGATTTCCTCACACACACACCCCCCCACACACACAGACACACCCCAGAATGAAGGTCTATTTGTACATAGCACACACATCTATACACGTGTACAGTGCAGGCACACACATTTGTATGCATTGTATACATTCATTTGTATACATTTGTACAAATATACACAACATAGTTGTATAGCATATGTACCTCCATACATGCACACAGTCATCTCCACTTGAAGGTATATCTACATACCATGCACACATATTCCTTATCTACACAGTCCTCTTTTGGAACCTGTTAGGTACGAGATTGCAGTATGAACCTAACAATACCCTAGATTCCCATTTCTCAGCCCTTTCAAATCACATATGCCTCTAGGTAAACAAAGGCACTTAGATTCTATCCCAAATGGAAACTTGTTTGATTTTCTGTCAGTATGGTGTGGTAGCTATTAAATAATATAAAGATGCCAGGTCTCTTTAGATTGATCTGTGGATACTAGATTGCAGAGTTGGAATAGGAGGAAAACTGTTCAGGCGCACCTCCACTTTCTGGAAAAAGAACAAAGAAAAAGAAGTGTGGAGACATCTCTTGAGGTGTGCTTTTCAGAATCCGTCATCAGTTTGACAGTATACTAATCCTCTCTTTTGTGGCCCAGCAGCTACTCAATTGAGTATTGTTCTCTGAGTCATCCTTTGTTGTGTCTGAGCTGAAGAGTGGTTATTTTTGATGGACATTAATAGGAGGGGTGCACTCAGAGTGAGTGCCAGCAGAAATGAAAAAAGTGACACTAGCAGGGAGAGAAGTGGCCCTAGGGATTGAGGAGACAAGGGATGGAGTGAAGTAGCTTAGGCCTCTGGTTTTGGAAACATGTGCCCTGTCCAAGATGGCTGTCATTGGGGCGTCCACAACATGGTTGACAGAGTGCTGTGTGCATAGGATCTTTCCCAGAATACAGTGGGTTATTACACACGTGATTTGCAGCTCCTATGTAAGAACTGTTAATGAATTTGGAGCAAGGAAGGGTCATTGTGGTTCAAGCAAGTGTATCTAACAGACTAGACTGGAGCTTTAGGGATTTCCTGGGTCTTTTTGTTTTTTTATCCTTGGTCTGTTGCTCAAATTCGGGTGAGGGAAGTGGGTGTGGTTTCACATCCCAATTGTACGGTCTTTAATAGTGTAGTTGCAGCTAGTGGAGCTCTTTTGTATTCTTCCAGATGTTGAGGACTTCAGCTCCTGGCTGTAGGGGTTTATTCCCTGGCTCTCTTGCTGCTGTGCAGACTCAGGGAACCTTGGCACCAGGCCCGGGCTTGGTCTGTGCCAGAGCATCTGTAAAGGCTACCTACTACCCAACTGCAGCAGGACATAGGCTGGCCTCTGCCTCTGTTCTGCACCCAGTGTTGCAGACCCATCTGTAGCACTGACAACACACATATTGATCATCACCAGATGGTACAAGGACAGGAGGGACAGGCAGGTGCTTCTGCAGGCTGCAGCCGGTCCTGGAGTGAGGCACTGGTGTGCTGTGTAGGACCAGGCATCCTCTGTTCTGCTGCTTACTGAATGGGTTGTATCTTTTCTTGGTGCTTGAGCTTATCTCTGGTTCTCCATTTGCTTCCTGGGGTTTTGTTGATGAGTCCTTGTGCTCCCCACTCAGTGGGTAGGACTTAGGGTCTTGTGTGTCGTAGGCAAGTGCCTTTCTCCTGAGGTGTACACTCCAGTGCTCGTATGTCATTTTGTAAAAAAATAAAAGCAGTTCTTACCTTAAATTAGAAGATTGTTTTGTTAACTTTGGGCCTGGAAGTGACGCTCAGGCAAAACCATGCAGTGGGCTAACTTGTGCTGGTATCACGTTGGAGCCCGTATACTTTAGTAGTGACATAGATAAGCACATGCATGAAGCCTGCACACATGTGGGGGATGCATGTATGTAAGTGTGTGTACATATATGTGATGTGGTAAAGTTGTGAGCAGATTCACAGGTCATCTCTGCTTCCAGAAGAAGTGACCGTTTTCTTGTCATGAGACTTTTTGTGAGTGCTAGGTGATGTGCATCAGGATTTGAACCCAGGGCCTTGCACTTTTCAGGCAGGTACTATACCACTGAGCTACAGCCCTAGTACATTATTGGATTTTAAAGATTTGTGACTGAATTGATTCCTAGTCCATCTAAAGATGATGCACCCCAGTGTCTATGGCAGTTTCTGAGAAGCAGTATAAGAATACTGCAACTGGAATGAAATAGTTCTCAGTACAGCTATAAATTTTCACATTGTTTTCCACAATTTTGTGTAATTTTTGAAACTAAAAGAACATAGTAGGTGTGTGTATGTATCTGTATTTGATGTATGTGTAGGTCTTGTTTCATGCTTTAGTTCCTTGTATAACATACCTTGTACAGTGTCGTATTATCTGTAGTGTGAGAGGAATGCCACCTTGCATTGTTGTGGACACGGGTCTGGGAAAGTATAACTTGATTTAACACCTTTAGTGACTCCAAGGGATTGTCACGACATGGGTCCAGTCCCACACTGGGAAAGGGTGTCTGGTGGAACCTGTGGCTGACTTTTATTTGTTCTTCCTCTAGGCAAGCAGATGCCCAACATTCTGAGGCCAGTCCAGCAGCACAGCAGGACCCACCAAAGCAGAGTGCATGGCCTTTGTCTGCGGTGTCCAGTGCAGCTCCAACTCAGGAAACCCCCGAACTGCCCCGAGAGGGCAGGGGTCGAGCAGGGACCCTGCCCCGGGATTATAGGTACTCGGAGGAGAATATGCTTGCACACTTGGGACTGCAAATGCAGGGTGCCTCCTCACCCTTGCAAGTTCAGGGACAGGACTCAGTGAGTCCTGCTGCAGTGCAATGCCCAGTAAGCACTGCTGCACCTCCCAAGAGACCAGCCCCACAGAGGCCTCCACCACCCAAGCACGAGCCCGGGAAGCACAGGACCCCGGACACAGCCCCTGCAGATGTTCGCCCGGCTGTCCTGCCACCTGTGCCCCTGAATGCTGCTACAGCCTGCCTAGCCTTGTCCTGTAGCCCCTCCACGTTGAGCAGTACTCAGACCCAAGACACCTTGAAGACCACTGCGTGTGAGCGAGATAGCCAGCATATGAAAGAGGACCCACTGCCAGAAGTGCTGCCTTCCTCCAAATTTCAGCATTTGAAGGCATTCGCCATGGAAACCTCTCGATCCCCCTCACCTCAGTTTGCCCCCCAGAAGCTGACAGACCAGCCCCCACTCCTCATCCACAATGAGCATTCAACAAGGTATTGTCCAGCTAGGGCATCCCGCCCATTCTGTTGCTGTAGGCACAGTTTTGTATGTGCCTCCTGGGTGGTCGGTGGCTGGTACCTTGCTTCAGCCTAGGACCCAGGATGGAAACATGTCCTGTAGGGGAAGCACGATTCCAAGTGATTGGATGTAGCCCCAACTCATTAGGGGCTGTCCTTGTCCACCCAGGATGGCTGGCCTTTCCTTGCAAGACAAATGCATTTATGCCTGTGTTAGCCCTCAGACATCCGCAGATTTGGGGTGTGGAGTTTTTTAAATCATTTCAGACTTGTGATCAAAATCAGGCCTATCCCAAATGTAACACCTTTAGGTGAAGCTAATGTTTACATAATGAACGATATTTTTTTGTTCCTTTTTCCCCTGCTTTAAAAAATGTTAAAAGCTGGCTGGGATTGGCATACTGGTTGGTGCCTGTGATCTGACCAAAAAGGACTGCAAGTTTGAAGCCAGCCTAGGTTGCATATTGGGCTGACCTGAAATGCATCACAAAGTGTTTGGGTGAGGGGACCTCACCCCATGACAGGATCCTCCCCTAACTCTTACCAGAAGTCATATATCCAGATCTCAGGATCACCACCTATGGCTCACCCCTCCTTCCTCTCTCCTTCCCTTCTTCCCTTCCCTCCCCTTCTCAGCTCCTTTCCCCTCCCCCTTCCCTCTCCTCTCTCACCTTCCCTTTCCTCTCCTCCCTTCCCTATGCTGACTTTGAATTCCCTGTAGGTTCCCAGGCTGCTCAAACTCTTAACTCTCCTGCCTCAGCCTTTTGAATGCTCAGATTCTAGGCATTAGCCACTGTGCCCTGCAAACACTAGAGGTCTGTTTACTCTCAGAAGTGTTTTTCAGCATGTTTCTTATTTGTGTCTGGGAGTGTGTGTGAACAGAGAGCAGTCAAGGCCCCTTCAGACACAGTGGACAATCAGCATGGTGGAGGCACAGATGATGGTGTAATTTGGGAGACCCAGAATGGCTGGCAGGTCCACAGACAGCCGCATAGCATGTTTAGAGCTTTGGATGGCACAGCAGGAGTCCAATGACCTGCAGGCTTATGTTCTGGGAGGCATTGCAGGCCATCCTCCTCCATCCCCTCAGTCCTGTTTTCTGATTACGAATGGTGAGCTTAGCAGAAAGGTCTAATTTCTTTATTTTCCTCTCCATCAGACTTTTTTTTTTTTTTTGTCTTTTTCATTTTTATCGGTTCTGGGGATTGAACTCACAACTGCCTGCTTGCAAGGCAGGCACTTATTCCGCTGAGCTAAATCCCCAGCCCCTCCATCAGACTTTTAAAGGTGGATATTGTGACCATTTTTTTAAAGATAAGAGATCTATTTGTGCTTAGAAATGATCAGGAAAGGCTGGGGATGTAGTTCTTGGGAAGAGTGATTGCCTCACATATGCACAGCCCAGGATTCTACCCCCAGCACCATAGATGGATGGGTGGGTGGATAGATGGACAGACAGGTAAAGATGCTTTCTAAAAAATATATGTTAGCCTATGGAAGATTTGTTTTCATAACTTAATTTTTTTCTGTTACTTTCCTTCACCTGAAATCAAATCTCTCCACAAATGAGGCCGGGCGGAAATCCAAGCTGAGTTAATTGTCAATAAAAGGTGATCCTGTTTCCTAAGTGCAGGAAGGAGTAAATGCAAAGGTTTTGTTTATTTGCTTATTCTTGCTTGGCTAAGATGGCAGGCTTTGGCTTGTTCAAGTCAGTATATCTAAGCAAGGTTTTCCAGAGGTAGACTTTTATAAAGTGGTTCACAAGGAAGGAGTTGTGTAGATCATATTAGAATCCAGGTAAAACCTATCAGATTCTTACTGTGTCTCCAGGAGTGAGGGAAGAAAATAGAAAATCATTTCATTTTGGCATGTGCAGCACCGTCTCCTAAGGAGCTGGAGTCCTCCTATGTCCCTCTAAGTTATCCAATTAGGGGCGAGAACCAGCATTTCACTTAGAAAGGAGCAATGCTCCCTAGCCATTACTATAGCTTCCCCCATCCCACAGAACTCTAGGTTCTCTCTTTTCCCCTCTCAGTTTGGGTTCATCTGTTGTTCCTCTTCAGAAACCAGCAGGTGGCTCTGTTTCTTCCCTAAATCCTGTGCAAACAGCCAGTCCTCAGAGCCCTGGTAAAACCCCACTACTCCCAGGTTGTCCCAGGCCAGCCTTTGTGGCACTAAGTGGTTTTTCCTCACTTTTCTCATTCCTTGTGAATATGTCAGACACCTCCCTGTCCCCTTTCACCAAGAAACTTTGTTTTTGGTTGTTTTTTTAAAAATAGGGCTCAATATGTAGTTCAGGCCTTGAGCTCACTTATGTAGCCAGAGCTGGCCTTGAACTTGTGATCTTCCTGCCTCAGCCTCTTGAGTGCTGGGATTACAGGTCAGTACCACAACCAGCAAGACCTATCTCTTTGAGAAGGAAACAGATGCCTTTTGAACATGTTCGTGACCACGACACGGAGCCAGTGAGTTCCCTGATGTTTTGGGGATCCTGTCCTTCGTGTGACATCCATACAATGTGAGGCTTGGGGGCACTCAGCCAAACAGTGATCTTCATGGAAGCCCTCCGGGGGCTGCCCTGACCCTACTGCAAGTCTCCCCCACTAAAAAAGTTTAAGGCTGCCGCTGGCCTGGAAAGAGTCAAACCCAAGCCTATGTCTGTGACTCAGTACCATTCACGGACCTCAGAGGAAGAGAAATAGGCCCCATGGGAGGAAATCATGGAAATGCGCAGACAGATAAGGCCTCCTCCCTCGAAACCATATCATTTCTTTTTTTTTTTTTTTCTGGGTTGGGGTTTATTTTCTTTTGTTTATGCTGTTCTGCTGGCATGAACAGCCAGACATTTTATGGAAGCCTTTACGTATCTACTGCTGGCTTGTTTTGAGGTTCTTTCTTGCATTCATTGTTTCGTTTTTATTGTTTCTATTCTACTGTAAGAACCGGTGTCACAGGGGAGAAGACCCCAAGGACTCAGCTCGTAGTGAGAAGTAAAAAGTTTATTTCCATGCGCATGGGGTCCCCCAGGCAAACAAGTGCGGAGGGCCCTGAGGGGGAATTGTGTAGGGTTTTTAAGGGTGCAAACGGGAGGCAAGCGAGTTTACAGAAGCAGATTGCATTGGTTAATTTTGAGCAGGATAGGACTTGGCAGAAGTTGATTGGAGGGGTTTGGGGTTGAGTAACCATGGAGACTGGGGGTCTTAGCCCAGTCACTATGTGCCCAGAACAGAACAGTTACTTGTCTTACTTATCTCGTTGAGACAGAACAACCTTGCAGGTGCATTTTTTTTTTTTTTTTTTTTGCTCGGTTCTGATAGCTCTGGGGAGTTAGGCATTCCTTTCTTCTCTGCTCTGATAGCTCTGGGGAGTTAGGGAGTTAACCCTTTCATCTCCCCCCTTCTTCTGCATAATACCTCTAATCTTAGAGGTCAGTTATAGCTAAGGGAGTATGTTGTTGTCTAAGGACCATTATTTTTATCTGAGAGACTTGGGAGTTAATAAACTGAGTTATGTGATTTATAAAGAAACCTTTAGAGCCATCAAACTTGTTGACCCAAGTCTGGAAACTGTATTGTTGTTTACCTAGCTCTGACAATCTCGGGAGCCCCCGGTTATTTTTTAAATTACTCCCATCCCGCAGACTGACATTATCTCAGAGTGGCACGTCTGCAGCAATATTTGGAGAAGAAAGTGGAGAGTTAATTATCTCAGGACAGCTTGTCTTTGCTAGTGAGTGCGAAGGGGTCACAAGTTATGAGACACTGGAACTTAAGTTTTACAAAGACCTGATATCTAACTCATTTGATACATACAGAACAAAAGGAAAGCACCGATTGGGGTTTGGGCCATAGTATTACCCGGTAATTTTTTTGAAGCTAAACAGTTTTTAAACTTTGGGGCAGGCTTATTTTATAACAGGTCATCACCAGGTCGGGAGGAGGTCACCAGAAACCCAAATTTTTTATGGCCTAGACAGATAGGTGAGGGGAGAGGGAGGCAATAAGGCGCCATACAGAACAGAAAACGGCGGTTATGTGTCAAGGTCAGAGTAAAGGGCCAAACTCACACGCAAATCTCTCTGCACACAAGCAGGTTACTTTAAACAAATGTAAATTAATTGTCATTTTAGTTTTTTTTTTTTTTAACGGAGAATAGAGGCGCCTAGCAGTGATTAACAACCCTTGTTAGCTTGTTTTAGTACAGCTTTTGTAGTTTGTAGAGGGCAACAATGGTTAACATATCAATTAGGTGAGATTCTTGTAATTTTTTACAGAGGAGAGTGTTACTCAACAAATCAATTAGGTCACTTAACATATCAGTTAGGGAAAAAGGATAAAAAAAAACATTTAGTAAGTCACTTTACAGGTTTATTATAATATATATATAACGAAGCTATTTTTAAGAGTACAACATTTTCTATTGATTGACTCATTAGCATCTGTTTATAACCTTGTATGTGTCTTTAAAATCACAAGCTTTTAAGAACTTTGACATAGTTTATCAACTTGTTTACAACATAAGGCCCAGTAGGGGGATTAACAAAGGTCTTGTAGCTGTCATTAAAGCTGTTAACCAAAAGGAGAAAGAAAACCAACATTTAAATTTACTCTGTTTTATCATATAAGTAACAATTTTTAAGTCAGACAGAGGCCTCCTTGGAGTCTCTATAAAGGAGGAGAACACAAAATTATCAGTTAATATTAGACAATCTTAAGCTTTAAAGTGTCCTTGGAAGAAATGACAGTTTACTTATTTGCAGGCTGATGGTCTTTTGAAGTTGGGACTTGTCTGCATTGGGAACGTTGAATCCAGGCAGGCTTTTAGCTATTTTGACAGTCCATTGTGGCTCAAGAGATTTACGGTGAGGTCGCTCTCAAGAGATTTACGGTGAGGTCGCTTGTCCAGGTGTCTAGGCTCTTTAGCTGCAGTGGGCAGCAGCGAAGTAACCAGTGGATGGAAGTCACAGCTAGCTGAAA